TCTCTCTTTCTCTCTCTCCCCAACCCCCCCCTCGCTTCTCTATCCCTTTCTCTTTCAAAGGCATGCGCGTACACACACATACTCACACATAATTATTAACCCCCTCACACGCACTCACACACACACAAGCATATTCAAACACGAGAATGTTGCGCGCACACTCTAACACACACGTATACATACATACATACACACACATTGACACACACACACACATAGACACACACATACACACATGCATACACACATATACAAAAACATAAACACCCATACACACATGCACACATACACACACATACACACGCACACACACATACACTCATGCACATACACATACAAACACACTGATGGCTGAATGATATCCAGTAGAACAGACACAGTGTTTAAATAGTGAAAAGTGAAAAGGTTAAGTTAAACCCTTTATGTTATTGTCTAGTAACACCTCTAATCTTCGGCGTATATATGACCTATATGCATTGCAAGTGCCGCTAAACTCTTACTATAAACAAAACCCTTTTGATATCCATACACAGCGTTCTTTTTCAATTCCCTCCCCCTCCCTCGTCTCTTCATTTCACCCACCCCTTTTCCTTCCCCCTCCCCACCCCCAACCACCCCCGTTATCACATTCCGGCAGGTGAAGCTAATTCCTTACTATCATACGAGGAGGAGGAGGAGGAGGAGGAGGAGAACGTGGAATAGGATAAGGGCCTAAGACACCCACATTAAAAACCTTTTTTCAGATTTGTTGGTGGTTCATTCATATCATACACAAGACTCCTTTAAAATGGGCTCTATTTCAGTAATGTAGCCAGTGCTGTAATGAAAGCATTAAGTAAGTCCCTATGTTCTGAACTACAAAGTACTCGGTTGTCTTGAAGGGCTGTCCACTGTCCTGGGTGATGGGAAAAAAACGACTTGTGTTTCATAAGTTGGGTTTTTGTAAATCTTTCCAGTAGATCCGCCATGGTATATGCTGCTTATTTACACAACGCATTTATAAATTAATGTCATGTGTGTCATTTATCATTATTATTCTCGGCGCGTTTTTCTATGAAGCCCCTTCTATAAAAAGTGTTAGCTTTATGCGATGTGGGTCAATGGCCTTAAACATTCAATAAAATACGAACCCGCCTACCTTGTTGATCTGTGTCAGTTCGTGAAGGGGGTTTTTTCCCGGCGCCCCATCGTGTTCTTGTGTGATTTGAATGGAAGGAATCATTCCAAGAATTCCATGTAGGTGGTTGGAGGGTGATCTGTGTGGTCTGCTCCCCGTCTTTCCCATCATACATCTATTGTCCTTATCTCTCCTCTTTCTTCTCTTTGTATTCTCTGGTAGTAACTTTTGTAATCTTCATTCGGCACTTGGGTTACAAGTGCCGTAAAATTATCACTAAAACAAACATGCACAAAAAAAGGAATTCAGTCTGATACGACATTTAAGACGCTATTAATGTTGACACAGACTCGTTTTGAAAATTCCTCTTCACTTGGTTCTAGTGTGCTCGCCAACAGATGGTATTTTGTACCTTCTGTGACTTTATGCCTATCAAACTGTCTGCCATAGCATTCATCTTGACCCCGACCTAAAGCTAATTTGACCAGCGTACTCCCACCCACCCCCACCCTCCTCACTCCGTGTATTATTTCTCGGAATCTTTGGGGGTAATTGAATCAAGTCTTGGCCTGGCTTTATGGGAAAGTGGACAGGTGCCCTCTGTTTTTGCCCGCCATCTTTAAAGGCCAATTTCTTTTGCTAATCTCGCCGGTTTTCCAAGCAGCTGCCGGGCGTGTTCCAGACACAGTCATAATTCGGCGCCCGAGTCGGGGAGCCACTGCCTGACTGACAAAACGAGATCTTGTTGCTGAAAGATAATATGGATTTATAGAAGTCTTAGTAATTCCCCCAACATTCATTTTCGCCTGTTTGCTCGAGAAGAAAGGAGGAGGGGTGGAAGGATGGATTTGAAGACGGAAGTTGTTGAGGGAAGGGAATGGCAGAGGGAGGGTGGATGAGAAAGAACAAGGCGTTGTGCTGCAGATATTTTATGACTGGGATCCGATGATGTTATAAACCTTTATGATTATATAGATGTATATAAATGACATGACAAGCTTGTGTGTATGGCAATTTGACTTTTTCTTTTCTCTCAAACAAGGTCTCTATTTTTAAAGAGGACCGTTTTGTATCATATATGATAAATATAACTTTTTTTAAAAGGGTAAAACTAAATCGTATCCTAAGCTCCTATACGGAGACAAAGAAGGTAAGAGAGCAGAGAAGAAGAAAGAGAGATAAAAAAAAAATAGCACAACACATGAATAAACCTAGATCTGTCATCTTTTGTTTTCGAAGAAAAAAATCCGGATATTTTCAGGTAGAAATGAATTTGTTAGTGAATGGTTCGTTCTGAGAAATCTGCAAGTCTACTGACGATTTGTTGCGTTATTGTTTTACTTTGCTCTCCCTCTTCATTAAAAAATATCTGCTTGCTTGTAATGCAACCGTATTCTTGTCATAATAACTGAGTTTTTGTGCTAGAAATGCCAACGTTTCCACATTTCCAACTTTACTTGCTGCAACAAGGCAGGGAAATAGGTTTACGACTTGTTAAAGTGATGTCGGGAGGGGGGAGGGAGGGAGAGAGAGGGAGGGAGAGACAGAGACAGAGAGAGAGAGAGAGAGAGAGAGAGAGAGAGAGAGAGAGAGAACTAGGTTGAACGTGGAGAGAAGGTGAGCCGGACAAGTAGCCGTGAAAATGCATAAAAGGGATGGACTGATGACGAGGAGAATGTATAAGGGATGGACTGAGGGCGGATGGAAGGCGAGAAAGAGAAGCTGCGCCTGTCAGTTTTTGTTATGATCATATTTCGCCGTTTGTGTTTCCATGACTTCTCTTACCCGTACTGCTTGACCTTTCTCCTCTCTGACCTCTGGCCTTGACCTTCCTCTTCGTGTCGTTTTGTTTCCACGATAAGACGCGGTGATTACGTGTTGGTGTGCACGTTGCTCCTTTTGTGAGTGTGGGTGTGTGTGTGTGGGTGTGGGTGGGTGGGTGTGTGTGTGCGTGTGTGTGTGTGAGTGTGTGTGTGTGTGTGTGTGTGTGTGTGTGTGTGTGTGTGTGC